GATTTAAGATTTATCGATTCCGTGAGGAGTAACGAACTCCGGAAAAGGCCAGTTCTTCCCGTGAGTGGGTATTTTTATGGTGACTGTGTAAGTAGGCCCGTGGAGATGGGTTTTCTAGTCAAGTTGCTCAGGTCTGATTTCACTCCTGTGGTACGTCGTAGACAGGTGACCTCGTGTCGTATCAATAACTGCTTAACTGTTCTCTATAGGATAACGCTCAGCCACAGCAAGCCGCTTGCAAGTGGTTCCCTGAACCAGATACGCTGCTTGCGACGATCTTTGTGGTTCATTGTTCTGAGATGAGAGAGGAGGGTTTTATCTGATACGGTATCTCACACGGTGTGAAAAACCCAAACCAACTGCGAGCTGGCTGCTTGCACTGTCCTGCAGACAGACGACACATCATGACGCGTGACCTCGTGACATGATGAATCTTACTGTAGAATTTCTAAATAGCGGGAGAAGTGGGAATACATTCAAGCACTTAAAGAGATTCTGTAGGTTTCGCATTTTACTACTTTTTATATGGTTGGTTTATTATATGCTTAGCAGAACATAGTCCATGCTATTAACTGATTAGTTTAAGCATGCCATATTATATTAGTCCTTTGGTCTTTATAGCATTAATCTTTATTCTGCAGTAACTTCTGTAATTACACCTTATTTATCTGCGTATAATACTGGTAAATTTCCGTCTCTATTGTAGGACAGTGTCTCAATCTACTTCAAGCTTAATGTTCAATATCTATTGGTTAATTTGATTCTTCAGATAATTAGTTTATACACCATCATGTCCAAACTTTTTCCACGTTGTGGGTTATTAATTTCTATTGAAAAATCAACTGGAAAATCTTTATCAGGGGTAAGATGTATAAAATTTCGATTAACTAAAATACGGCGTCTGTTTCGTGATTAAGGGTTGCTCGCCTTTGATAGAAACTAAGTCTTTTGTTTGAAGCTCCTTTTATTGTCCATTCTGTTCTAAACTGAAGTCGCCTGTTACGCCGTTGTCGTTCTATCATTCACGCTGCAATATTGTGTTCTATTGTTCGATCAGGTCTGGCTCCTCTGGGGTATCCAAAACGATGAAGGTGCTTCGTTTCTGGTGTGATTGCCATGCTTCTTTGTTGATTTGGATGTATGCTTTGTCGTTTGCCTGCTGTTTGCTGAAGTGAATTCCTCTTCTGTTCGTCTAGCTTATTCTAATTAAGAAGCCCTGATAGGTTTTTGGTTGCAAGATTGCTCTGAATATAGTGTGGTGGAACTGTTCTGGATTGACTTCCTTCCACATCCATATGTTATGGCTCTCGGCTCTGCGCGCTGTGAAGAAAAACAGCCCAAAGAATGATGCTGCACCGGAAAAAAAAAACTTGCTTCACTGTGGTCTGGTGTTCTTTTCGGATTAATTTGCAGTGTTGTTTGTTGCGCAAACATACCTTTGGGACTTAAGGTGCCAGCAACAGTTCAACCTCTCAAGTTGTTTACCCGAACCATAAACAAACATTTCCCTACATGGCTGTTAGGAGACTAATCATGTTGTTGGTCTGGGTAGTATTTTTCTAATTTCGCCCAGCTTGGATGCTTTCTTTGAAGAAACGGCTTCGTTCTTGCCATCTGCTGTGCTCAAAGCCCCAAACATATGAAATAGTGCGTACCGTGAGTTCTTGTTTGTCGTTGTCACATGTACTAACAGCCAGTACTTGCAAGTATATTCCTGGGGGCGCGCTTTAAGTGTACTGCTTGCCTGGCCTCCTTCGAGCCTCCTGATTCGTTCCTTGTTTCATCAGGTTCTGTAGGGGCGTCCAGTCCTTTACTATCGCGGCACGTGTCGGGTGCTGCATGAGATTTCTCTCCACTGATGATGTCTTCCCGGGTTTTTCATCTGTAATACTGGTCTTGAATGCCTTGAATATTGGGTACCCTTCGCCTGGTGCTTAGATAGGGTCTGTTCTTTTAACAATGAGACCCTTTAATGCTTTGGAAGGTCTGCTTCCATGCTAGCTCGTGATCTGCTGAGATGCAAACTGAGAGCAAATGTCGAGGACAAGTCCTACTTGACTCCCAGAGCTGTTGAACCTTCATTATCGGGAATTCAACTCGTCAGTTTTCAATGACCTGGCAGGTGTTCGCTAGTACTATTTCCCGCATAGATGTTTGTGCCATTTATTGGTATATGTCTGATACACAGCCACACTCCCCAGTTTAAGAGCCTGTGCCCACTATGCGATTACCAGCTGTTTTTTATTTTTCCACCTAAGTGAGTTCCATGTTGTTTTCCAACTTAGGTGTATTCATCTTATACCAACTTTATTAGTGGAACGTTCTGACGTGTATTTAATTTACATCACAGCAAACCTCTTGGCTACTTATATATACGAGGTGCTTGTATGAACCGACGTTATGATTTATCCACATGTTATGCTTCTATAGTGACTGTAATTCAATCAATATCTATCGATCAGTGGTGCCCTTTGTGTCTGTGTCAGGGAGTTTGGTCAGGGACTTTTAAATGCAATATTGTCATTAGCACTAGCTAACTGTATGATAAAGGCTGATCAGGTTGATTAATGCTTTAATAATGGGAGTATTGATTAGTGATCAGGCTGCACTGTAGATGGCTGCCCTCAGTGTGCCTGTTTTTAAACTACTTTCCTAATTAAACACAATGTGCTTGTTATTAATACGTTGTATGACGTATGGTGTATCATTAATGAAACAAGTGTTTGTGTAGAGTCAGAGAGGACGAACCCGGCTGTTAAAGGAGAAATAACGAGAGGCGGCGTTAAGGGAGAACATAGTTTACGTTTATTTAAAGGCTGATTCCACCAGTGAGACAGAAACACAGCTCAGTTCTGATGTTTCCTGTCTGAAACCTCCCAAACATCTTCCAGAGTGGAATGTCGTCGACAGATCCCCGTCCGTTCTGTTCTTACTCCAAAAAACATAACACAAAGGCAACCAGAACCAGAACCCAGCTCAGATCCACGTGGTCAGCTTTAACATGAAAACAAACTGCACTTGTCCCTCTCTCCTTGACGCTTCTGGCCAAATTCGTCCTCACATTCATTAATATTTTATCTTTATTATTTTTCAAATACATTTTGTAAATGCAACATGAAAAGCACAATCACACGGAAAATAGACACGTCTCTGAAGTCTGCGTTAATAAAAGGCCCTCGGCGGGAAAATAAAAACAGGCTTTTATTTTTTTTAATCCCTTGGAAACTAAACGATGGGCGTTTTACTTTGAAGGTAGAAAAACAGCTTTCTGCTGGTTTAAACTGGACAGGAAGTTACTTACAGTGCTGCAGTCTAAACCGTCACATCCCACAAAGCCTGAAGCCCGTAAGGGTGGCGCCGGAGCCTCGGAGCGCCCTGATTGGTCAGCTGTCACTCGCTTCTTTCTGATTGGCTCAAAAACTATCGGGACCGACGGCGTGTAAATGCTCTACGAGGGTGAAACCGCAAAAATAAAACCCAACAGAGCCGTTCAGCCCGTTTCCACCACGGGAACTTTTCAGGAACTCAGGAACCTTTTTTAAGGAACTCGGACACTTTACATTTAGTTCCTAAATAAACGATCGGGTTCGGGTCAGATGGTCCAGGAACCATCGGGCAAAGAGCAGAAATAAATAACTGTAAAACAAACCACAGGGCGGCGCTGCAGTTATAAAGACGGGCCACGTTACTGATCATCACGTTGTGGACCTGATCCAAAACTAACTTTTATTACATTTTAAACTAAAGTATGAATCAATAACTCGAGAGACGGAGTTAGTTGGAGCCCGGAACAACACACAGACTCAGTTTGTGAGAAAACTGGATCTCAAACTGCTTTTCTACTTAATATTTAGACGAATAATAGAACTGAGTCAAACTGATCAGTGGATAAATTACTGGGCAACAACTTTGATTATTATTTTGAAGCCAAAGTGGAAAAACTCTCTTCCATGTTCGGGTTTCAGTCCTGATCAAAAACAAACTTTTTTTGAAGACGTCATTTAAAGTAAAGTATTAATCACTTAGAGAGTTAGTTACCGCCCTGAACAACTCAAAGTCTCACTCTTCTACTCTGTTACAACTCTTTTCTTACTTTTCCTGGTTTATCTGTTGTTGGGGGGGGTGCAAATGTTACTGTACAAAAATCAGCTTTTAGTTCCTGAGTGTGGTTCATGTGGCTCCGTAGTTCCCGGGTACTTCAGGTTGAAAATGGGCTTCAGTCACAGGTTAAATAAAAGAGCTGCAGGGCTTCCGGACGCTACGACTCATAAAAAAATCTGCTGTACAGGGTCGAGCTGCGGTAGTGGTTATCGAAGGAAACATAGTGGAAAACATTCAGGCTGAGCCAACTACCTGTATACACCTACCTGTCTGCCTGCCTGTCTGTCTGTCTGTCTGTGGCCTCGTGCTAACCTTTACAGCAGTCAGTGTAACGGGACAGTGAGCAGGCACACAAGAGCCGACAGAGCTGCTTAAAACTAGTAAAAAGGCAGAACATGAACAAAAAGAAACAGTAAATGCAGGTTAAGTAAGCGAGCAGGGTTACATCTTTTCTTTTTTTTTCTTCATTAAGTAAAGAAATAACAGGAAGAAGAGGCCGGAGAGGAAGAGAACCCCGAAAATATTCAAGCAGGAAGCTAATAGACATACCTGTATTCACCTCAGAGGGCGTGAAGCTAAAACTGCTACGAACAAATCACAAAATACAGTTTTTTGTTAATATCTGCAATCTGAAGCTAACGGTAATACTATCCCTAAGTGTGACGGGCTTTTTATGTTCTTAGCCCCCCCTCTCTTGTACTTCTTCCCTTCCTGTGACGTTTACTGGCACCACGAAGCCGTCCCGTCACCGCCGCCACGCCCTCGGGCTCCTCCTTCAAAAAAAGGATTCGGACAGTCCAGGTGACGCTTCGCTTCACAGGCGGCGTTCTCACAACACGGCTACGAGACAAGGTCCGTTTAAAGTCCAACTATGGCAATATATATTTATTTATATATTTATATAGCTGTCCCAACTCCCACCGTCCTCCTTTCCTTCCTTCATTCAACCACTAAACTACAGAGAGCCTTCCTCCTCCTCCTCCTCCTCCTCCTCAGTAATGAAAATGAATGAGAGATCAGAAAGTCCAGTCTATATTGACCCCCGCTGCTTCACCTGACCCCCGCCCCCCTGAATCCGACCACCGCACCGTCCTCGCTCTCTCACAACGTCCCCGCTTCAGTCTGCGGCGGCGGAGACGCTAAAAACCGGCGCTCCGACCGGACCGAGCAGACGTCCAGGAGGTCGGCTTTATTTTATTTTTTTTAAGTTCTTTCGGATGAGAGCGGAGATGTGGCGTGGGGGGGGGCAGTGGTGGTGGTGAGGGGGGGGTATGTTCCTCAATGTTCAGATTTCCGCGGGTTGAAGGGAACCCGGCGGTGGCGTGGCGCGTGGCACCACGGTTGAAGAGATCCCGCGCCCTCCGGTCCAGGAGGGGTGTCACCGCTCCTCCACAGCCTCGTCGGGGGGTCGTGTCGCCTCCCCAGCCTCCACCGTTTCTCACCGGTTTAATTTTAGTTGGAGCTCGTCTTCGTCAAACTTCTTGTTTTTTTTCTCCTCCCGTTTTCTCCTGGTGGTGGTTTTTTGTTGACGTCCGGACACAAAGTGCCGCCGCGGCCTGCCGTTCAGTGAGGCGGGTTCATGGCGCCGTGACCTCGCTGCTGCTTCTGCTTCTGCTGCAGGAGGAGCTGCTCCAGAGCCGACGGGCCCGGCTGCATCATGGAGCTCGACCAGATCGACTGCAGAGGAGCAGAGAGTTAGTGATCACACACACAGAGACACACACAACCACAGAGACACACACACACACCACACCAGAAGAGACACACACACACAGAGACACACACGACACAGAGACACACACACACCAGAGACACACACACACAGAGAGAACACACCGACAGAGACACCCACACACACAGAGCACACCACACTGTACACACACACAGAGACACAGCACACACAAACACACACACAGAGACACACACCACTGTACACACACGACCAGAGACACAACACACACAGAGACACAAACACACACACACACACACAGAGACCACAAAACACACACACACTCACCAGAGACACAACAACCACACACACACAGAACACACACACACACGAGACACAGAGAGAACACACACACACACACACACAACTGTACAACACAGAGACACACACAGACAGACACACAGACAGACAACACAGACACAACATACAGACACACCACACAGACACACACACACACCTTGAGGCTGTCGAGCAGCACGGTGGAAGAGCGACTCCTCCATCGGAGACTCCCTGATTGGTCCAGGACTGCCGTCGGCCCGGTCACTGGTGCCAGCTGGTGTTGAAGCTGCAGATGAGGCTTGCCGGCCGCAGTAGTCCCAGACCGAACCCGCTGACCGCTCCCTGAAAACCCACAACAACCACAGGATGAACATGTGAGCAGATCTGAGTCGGACCAGTTGAGTGAGGTGTTATGGAGAACATGGTGTGGCCATCAATATATAGGGCTGCAGTTTGAAACAGCTCCTCTATAGATTCGCATTCTATGTTGACATAATCAGTCCTTCTCCGTTTTGAAACTACAGTCTTCAGCATTTGGATGATGTAAGCAGAAGCATCACGGTCTTGTCGCTTCCAGCGTCACGACCCGGCGGTCCCGGCTGCCGGATTATCCTATGGGCCCCGAAGTTAGAGAAGGGCATGGCTCCGTGGTTGTGGTGTGGGGGGGGAGGCGGCAGGCTGCTGGTTGGACGAGATGAGGGGATTGCCTTCCGCCGGCGGTGGAGTGAATCTGCCAAGTCAGAACGCAGCTGAACGTCAAGGCGTGTGTAAGTGTTCGGTGTGAGCGGATTTACATCATACAGGTGTGACGTACCCTGAGCTGGCGGGGAGGAGGGACCAGGGAGTGCCTCGAACAAGGGAGTAGAGGGACGGCTCCTGGTGCATCCATCGGGAACGTCGGGCTGGAGCTGGCGGCAGGTTTTGCCGTAGGCCCTGGCTGAAGAATGCTGCTTCTGGTTGTAATTCCTGAACACGAAACACCATGAAGGCTCCCGATTGATGGTCCAATAATCAACACTGATTAAGCAAGTGTTATTTATTAGTAAAACAACCAGCTGCTACAGAACGTCTTCATTAACAGAAACATTAAAGTTAATATTCTGCCATTTATCCGGAGCAAGGAGACAACCGGCTGTAACCTGAACCAGAACCTCAACCAGACCTGGGAAACCAGTACTACCCAAACACATGTTTACATGTATGAGGACAAAGCAGGCAGCTAGGGCCCGCTCTGTACGTGACACCTGAGCCAACATGCTTGCAGTGAACACAGCCCGGACTCTGGGAGCGAACAGGGACCTACGCACGAGCTACGGATCAGTCTTCCATAGAATCGCTGCTGTAACGCAAGTTCACTGTGGGTCTCTGAGGCTGCGTTATGTGTCAGATATAAAGATGTTTATTATCAGGCCTTGAGTGTTGACAGTACGGACAGAGCGCTGTGGGAGTCTCACAAAAGCTGCAATGGGGGAACCCAGTCATAGGCCAGGAAGAGAAGAGGACTGGCCGACGAACCTCGGGCCGCTCTCCATGCGGGCTCTGGTTGGGCAGCTGTGAGAGGAAGGACAGATCGGGTTTGAGGACACAGACACACAGCTGCTGCTGAAGCTGAAAGAAGACTCACTGAACAATGATCCAAATGAAGGAAGAGTTCCATCTCCTCACCTAATCTGCACAACTATACAGCTCTGTGTTAACAGACAGGTTTCTATAGCAACAGTCCAGTTTTCCAACTCAATCTGAGCAACATGCACTAAAATAATAATCCATAAAATTATAATAATACTAATTAATAATGATACTAATTATAATAATAAATATCATGAATACTAATTATTAATAATGATACTACACTACTACTACTACTAACTACCTAATACATAATAATAATAGATAATAACAAATACTAATACCTAATAATAAATAATAATAGTAATTATCAAATCGATAATCACTACACTATGAATAATAATGGATGATAAAATAATTATTAATACTATAATGATAATAATAATAAATAATAAAATATGAATAATGATGATGATAATAATATTATTAATAACAATAACAATAATAAATAGGTAATAATAATAATAATATATAATATCACAAGGTGTGAATGATGAGCAGAGTGGCTTTAGGTGTGGAGGTTGGGGTGTTGCAGGATGGGGGGCGGGCACAAGACAGAGCTACATACAAATATGTTTGGTCCAGGAGCAGAGCCTACAGGGGGCCGGCCAGGCCTGGAAGAAATCACGGAGGCTTAGTAAAGACGAGCTCCCTCCTCCTCCACCTAAAAATCTGCTAAGAGGTTTTTAACAGGTCAGGCGGCGTAGAAGACACCGGCTTGTTGTCCTAGTGAGAGGAGAGGACAGGAAGAGAGACAGACAGAGAGAGAGAGAGAGAGAGAGAGAAGAGAGAGAGAGAGAGAGAAGAGAGAGAGAGAGCAGAGACAGAGAGGAAGAGAGAGAGAGACAGAGAAGAGAGAGACAAGACAGAGAGAAGACAGAGAGACAGAGAGAGAGACAGAGAGAGAGAGAGAGAGAGAGACAGAGAGAGACGCATAGAGAGACAGAGAGAGCCAGAGAGAGAGAGCCCCGAAGAGAGAGAGACAGAGAGAGACAGAGAGAGAGACAGAAGAAGAGAG